GGGGAAATAGTAGCAATCTACTGCTGTGATTCCTCTTACACAAGCATCTACTACCGATCCAGATCCTGGCCGATATAGTTTTAACACGTGTGTTTTTGTTCCAGGTGTGTAAGCACTACCAGTGTGTGGATGCGGCAGTTTTGGGTTATGACTGTGACATAAAGAATCGGTGCCACGGCCACGGGGTAAGAGGCGTTTTGTGCTTTCGACAGTAGCGGTTGGCTGGGACGTTTGTTGGCCTCTCCACCCCATGCTCTCACTCTTCTCGGTTGCACCACAGCTAGAGATGGGCATGAACTGCCAGTTCATGGTTCATGCCGGTTTGTCCTTCGGAGGAGCAGGCGTTTGGCGGCTCCCAGCCCGGCCTCTCAGAGGCAGTGTCTGGAGGCGGCAGCGCTGGGAAGCCAGGACGCTCTTCCCGAGCAGGCACCTGCTGGAGAAGGCAAGGCTGGGAGCTGTGAAACACTTGCTCATCTCAAAACGAACCAGCACGAACTGATGAACTGAAGGTTTGTGCCCATCTCTAGCCACCGTCTTTCCTTTGCACTGCTCTCTCTCTTACACCCTTCAGTTGAGCACTCTTTGAGCTTATCCAAAGGCTACATGACCCAGTATCCCCAGCCAGCATCACTCCCTAGTTTAACAAAGTTTTGAACCCCCTCTTTTCTCTGCCCATAAAATTATGGAACAATTCAAAACATGTGCATTTCTGAACTCAAATTCTTGACATTGACATCTTTAAAATGTGCCGTCGGACAGTCCTCCCTTCAGTGAAAGATTGTTGGCTAGACCCCCGAGTGACCCTGATGGGCTGCAGTCGGGGACGCCAGACCACCCCAAATGGACCCTCCAAATTTCGTGGAAGCCCCTCTAGCCATTCTTGCCTGATGCAGTAACTGACAGAGGGGGAGGAACTGGACTTTTATGGATATAAAGGCCATTTCGTTTTGTCCACATCCTGTCTTTCTCTCAGATCAGGTTGCTTTCAAAAGGGGCAGGGGGAACCCAGTGGCATAAATAATAACATTAAGCTCCAAAACCGGCATTATCTTTCTATAGTTGATTTAAAAATTCACGCTTCTTTATTTTTTGTTGTACACCCCCACCCCGAGCAGTGGTTTTTGCCAAGTGGGTGGTATAAAAATGGAATGAACGAACCAATGAATAAATCTCTCCCAGCAGGGGCTACACTGTGTTTAAGGCAAGAATTGTTCTCTTTGAAAAGCAGGAACAGCTCTTCACTTTTCTTGTCTGGTCTTGTTGTGTTGTGTCTTTTCTTTTCGACGACGGCTTCCAGAATCCCCCGGCCAACACAGGGATGTTTGGAACTGTAAAAATACTTTTTCCAAACTCTGTTATTAGGAACTGCTATGTACCTGAGTTTTCAGACAGACAGACAGACAGACAGACAGACAGACAGACAGACAGACAGGAGATATTTGCTTCTAAATCTAAGGGTTACAATCCCTCTTTGACTTTTTCTCCCCCCCCCCTTAATCTTTATACAGGTATGCAATAGCAACAAGAACTGTCACTGTGATCCAGGCTGGGCCCCTCCCTTCTGTGACACCAAAGGATACGGTGGCAGTGCGGACAGTGGGCCTCCCTATAACGGCAAGTACCCCAAGTAGACACGGTCATGGGACCTTCTGGGCTCTTATGTTCAGCCGGGTTCTGGGATGGTGTTGAGTCTGTCTTCTCCCAAGTTCCTTGGGTCCTGGTTGGCTGACCCTGTGACTCTGACCATCAGCCTTTACCTGCAGCGGGAAAAGGTGCTAGGGTCTTGGAAAACTACCAGCAGAAAACGTAGACTTTTGTAGGTTCCTTTCTTCTCCTTCTCCTTCTCCTTCTCCTTCTCCTTCTCCTTCTCCTTCTCCTTCTCCTTCTCCTTCTCCTTCTTCTTCTTCTTCTTCTTCTTCTTCTTCTTCTTCTTCTTCTTCTTCTTCTTCTTCTTCTTCTTCTTCTTCTTCTTCTTCTTCTTCTTCTTCTTCTCCTGGGCATTATGTCTCCAAAAGCAGGCCTATCCAAATTCAAATGAGTTCCCTCCATGTCAGAAATGTGACCCCCTTGGTTTAAAAACAAAAAGGAGGTATGCAGAATGTCGAAAAGATTAGTCACCTCAATGCATGCTGCTAAAGACAGCAGATGAAAATCACAAAAGTAAAGTGGAAACTGATGAAACCCAGAGTGGAGACTATGTAGTCCTCCAGGTGTTCCTAGACTCCAAATCCCATCCTCCCTCACCATTGGTTTTGACAAGATGGGAGCTGCAGTCCATTGAGAATCACAATCTGTGTCCTTTTATTCTCCTCTCTGCCCCATGTGAGGCCGAAGAAGTTTTATTCTCCTCTCTGCCCCATGTGAGGCCAAAGAAGTTTTACAGTGGTCTCTCGCTTAACAATTGCCTGTTTAAACGATGAATCTGCTTGACGATGAGGTTTTCACGATTGCTATAGTGATCGCAAAATGATGTTTTAATGGGAGAAAATCGCTTTATGATGATCAGTTCCCTGCTTCAGGAACCGATTTTTCACTTAATGATGGTTTAAAAACAGCTGTTTTTAAGGATGGATTTACAATGATCGGTTCCCTGCTTTGGGAACCGATTTTTCACTTAACGATGGTTTAAAAACAGCTGATCGGCGGCTTTCAAAATGGCTGCATTTTTTTGCAAGACAGGCACCGGAAAATGGCCGCCCTATGGAGGATCTTCGCTGGACGATTAGGTTTAGCCCATTGGAACACATTGAGCAGTTCTTAATGCGTTTCAATGGGTTTTTTCCCCCGCTTGATGACGATTTCGCTCTACAGTGATTTCGCTGGAACGGATTAACGTCGTCAAGCGAGGCACCGCTGTAATTCCAATTTGAGGGAAGGAGCTGCTGCCAAAATGTCACTAAGATTGATGCTAGAGCTAATACGATTTTTCACCCTTTCCTCCTTTTCTTTTCTTAACGTCATCAAGCGAGGCACCGCTGTAATTTCAATTTGAGGGAAGGAGCTGCTGCTGAAATGTCACTAAGGTTGATGCTAGAGCTAATCGATTTTTCGCCCTCTCCTTCTTTTCTTTTCTTTTTTTCCTTCCAGATGAAGATAACACAACCAGAAACTGGCTACTGGTATTCTTCTTCCTGATTCTTCCCCTTCTTGTGGCTTTGCTCTTCTGTTATTTTACAAGGAATCAGTTTGCAAAATCCATAAGGCCACTGGTGGACAGCTGTTGTCGGTGCGTATTTCTCTTCCCCACTTGTGGCAGAAAGTGATTGAAAATTACCTTATAGAAAAGCAGGGATTAAAATCCTAATAGGAGGGAAAAAACACACCAAGGGATCAGTAAAAGAGGAGAGTGAGTTATCCACCAGCTTTGTGTCCAGCTTGTTAAAGCAGATCTGCTCTAAACTTTACATCCTGCAAATCTGATGGGTAGAGAGCAGAGCAGATGTTGCAACATGCCTGTCCCAGTGAGAGCTGTGCTGGAAGGCTAGAACATCTGGACCCAAGATCTTTGATGTCAACAGGACTGATCCAAGACACCTCTGCACCTGAGGCTATAAAACAAACCCTATCCCTCAAGAGGGCTAGAAACCTGTGTAAAGACTAATATATGGGATAGGCAGATTTTGCCAGAGGTGAAATTGATGATGGCCATGCAGAACTTGGGCTATAGAGGTATACTTTATCCTAGCAGCCATAACGTTGCTATGGGCTTAGCGGGTATCTTCAGCGTATGTTCTCTTTGCTCTTCTGTCTACCGAAAGGTGTTTCAGCAGATCGGATCACAGGACGCGGCAAAATGTAAACACAGAGTTCCCACCAAGCGCTCCATACCCTCCGAGAGATACATCAACTCAAATGGTAGGAATCAACGATTTCTCCACTAATTTTTTGATCTTTGGTCATTGATTTGCATTGGGGGCGGGGGGGACTGAATAACAGAACTGGACATGCTGAGAACGAATAGGAGCTGGAGCTGTATTAGAAAAGCCACACGAGTGACAGGCATGGCTTTCCAAATAAGTTGGGTAATTGCTTTTGGATGGGGTGGGGGGTCCTGAGAATTTTCTGCTGAGAAATCTCTGCCAATTTAAAGTTCCAGTGATTCTCTTGGGAGAGAGGGTTTCCGTTAAATGTTTTAAATTTTGAGTGTAGAAAACTCTATGGAAATGTCTGTTTCTGTTTTGATTTTGGACTCTGTTGACCTTCACGATGACCAACGTCTCTACAAACACAAAACACCATGTGCAGATATGTGTTTTTGCTGCCTGGGGAATTTGGCCATCCAAAGCCATGCGTTTGCCAGTTGGAAGTTGTACACACAGAGAGAGATTCTCTGCCCTCTCCCGGAGAGGAAGAAAGAGGAAAATGGCTTCATTAAGCCGCATAATATTAGCTGACTTGAACCCAGTTACCCCTAACATTATGCAAGGCATAACAGCTCTTCCTACTTTTCAATGAAGGGCTCTGAATGTGATGTGCCTCTTGCGTGGTTGGGAGATGGGTTTTGTGATGCACGTCCTGAGTACCATCAACCTGAAGCAGTAAAGCCAAAGTTGTTTTTTTAAAATGAATCCACATTTCAATAATAAACTTTGGTTACTGGTTTTCTTACAGAATAGGCAATCAAACAGATACCCTGTGCCATCCTACACAGCTAATCAGCAATGGCATGGTGAACCTTTCCATTACAAGGCACCACCTGTAAATTCAGCACCACTTGTTCCCCCATCCATGGAACAGCATTTTGTCCCAACAAGGTAGGTAATGGGCAGCCTCTAGTTCTGGTGGGAACACTCTTTTATTTTATTTTATTGCTGCTGTTGCAGTTTTCCTTGCTTGACAGCTGATTCCAAGTACAGTGGTGCCTTGCTTAGCGATCGCTCCGTTGAGCGATGAAATCGCTTAGCAATGGGGTTTTGGCCATCGCCAGAGCGATCACTTAGCGATGGCCCCTATGGGGGGAAATCGCTTTGCGATGATCACGGGGAAGCGATCATCGCAAAGCCCCCATTTTCAGCCAGCTGATCAGCAGTTCCAAAATCGCCGCCCGCTGTTTTGCCTCGCTTTAGAGGCACCGGAAATGGCCACCCCTATGGAGGATCTTCACATAAGGCCAGTTTTTAAGCCCATAGGAATGCATTAAACATGTTTTAATGCGTTTCTATGGGCTTTTTTATTCCGTTTAGCGATGAAATCGCTTAGCAACGTTTTTTCCAGAACGGATTAACATAGCTAAGCGAGGCACCACTATACTGGACCAAGGCCTGCGTTCAAATCTCTATTCAGCTTCAAAGCATGCAGCGTGACCCTGGGCCGGTCAGTTAGCCCTCAGGCTAAAAACACAGGGTTCTGAGGATGAGACCTTTCCAGATTTGCTACCCAGATGTGGTATACTAGATTGTCTTAATGTATCTGCATATATTGACCCTGGCCCGGGCCAGATGTGATCATAGTCTGGTACATTTATTAGGGCAAGCATTGCACTCTGATGCTCCTTCCTAGCTCTCTTTCTGCCGCCCCCCATCTCAGATATGAGAGTAGAAGATGCCTCAGGTTTGATGCACACATTTCCCCTTCCATTGCAACCAGTTCCTGGGGGGCAGAGCGGGGGAGGCTATCTTTGCCTGCTGGCAAGAGGACAGACAGCAAAGAGAGGAGACCAGCGTGGCCTTCTGTGGGAGGGAGTTCCACAGCTTGGGATCAGCCACAGAGAAGGCCCTCTGGATCGGCAGGTGCATTTTCTTTAAACTGTGATGATAGTTTAGAGTCTTCCAATACAACCAACATTAGCAATACAGGCTGTGTAGCAAATACTGCTCTGTTGTCCAACAGAGAATAAAAGTGTGTGTGTGTGTGTGTGTGTGTGTGTGTGTGTGTGTGTGTGTATACTGCTCTGTTGTCCAACAGAGAATAAAAGTGTGTGTGTGTGTGTGTGTGTGTGTGTGTGTGTGTGTGTGTGTGTGTCAGTGTCTAGAAGGAATTGCTAGGCAGTGGCTGCCACCCCCCAGTATTTGCTGCTTGTAATATTTACCTTGTGCAGCCTAATATTAGAGCAAGCTCTGGCAACACTTTAAAATTGATCCCTGCAGCTTCCTCTAAAATGAAACCAAGTTTAAACAGCTGATATTTAATTTCATAGAGACTCTTTTATGTACTGCAGAATACTGAAATCCAAAATACAATGTTGGAAAAGATGGAGGTCATCATTACCCTTGTGGTTTTTTAAAATATATATATATATAGAGAGAGAGAGAGAAGCATAAAAGAACAGAACTGGAATTTTAATACGGACTGTCTTATAAAAGAATTTCCTGATAGCAGTGTAACACAAGTCTTCAGTTTTTTAAAAAATTAGAAAGGACATGGTTTCTTTTATTAGTAATGCTTATCCCCCTGAATCTGTTGGTTTACAGGCTAATAAAAATTAAAGTTAACTCAGCCAATGTGCCCGAAAGCAGCTCTTGCATATCTATCAAATAATAAGAGGATAAACAAACATAGGCCTCACATACATGAGATCTATACCTATCATGGATTAAAAAGAACACCTTCCTGGTCGCATTCTTATGTATCTGAAATATTTGAGGCAAAAGATGTTGGTACCACCATATTTGAGCCCTTGTATTGCAAAAGATGTGCACCCCCATTTATATACATAACACTTGGTGACATTGATGCTCTCATGTCATTCCTGCTGCTCCCATGGACCTGGGTGCAGCAAAGATTTTAGGATCTCAGTATCTACAGTTAGGGGACATGGTGGCGCTGCAGGTTAAACTGCAGAAGCCTCTGTGCTGCAGGGTCAGAAGATCAGCTGTCGTAAGATTGAATCCACGTGACGGAGTGAGCGCCCGTTGCTTGTCCCAGCTACTCACCAACCTAGCAGTTCAAAAGCATGTAAATACGAGTAGATAAATGGGTACCACCTCGGTGAGAAGGTAACGGCGTTCCGTGTCTAGTCATGCTGGCCACATGACTATGGAAAACTGTCTTTGGACAAACTCTGGCTTTACTGCTTGGAGACAGGGATGAGCACCGCGTTCTAGAGTCGGAGATGACTGGACTAAATGTCAAGGGGAACCTTTACCTTTACTATCTACAGTTAGACTATAGGATGCTAACGGGTCAAAAATAATTTCCCAAAGTGTAGTGGAAGTACGGTAGCACACAATGGCTGCACTCCTATAGTAAACTACAGCTAGAGTAGGCCCACTGAATCAATGGAGACTCAATGATTCCACTCCTCTCTAAGTCCCATTGATTCAGTGGACCCCTTACAGTGGTGCCTCGCTAGACGATGATAATCCATTCTACTGAAATCGCTGTTTAGCGAAATCATCGTCTAGCGAAAAAGCATTTCCCCATTGGAATTCGTTGAAACCTGTTTAATGCGTTCCAATGGGGAAGAATCGTCATTAGCGAAGATTGGCCACAGGAAAGCCGCTTTGTGAACTGCCGATCAAAGCTGTTTAAATAGCTGTCTTGCGAAGCTTAGGTTCCGAAAACACCCGTTTTGCAAGCATGGAGGAAGCTGTCAAAATAGTTGTCTAGCAAAAATTGGTTTGTGAAGCAGGGACCAAACATTGTCCAGCGAAATTCCCCCATAGGAATCACTGTTTTGCGAATCGCTATAGCAATTGCAAAAAGTCAATGTCTAGCGAAAAAACGGTCATGCGGGGTAACTGTCTAGCGAGGCACCACTGTATTAAAGTTTTGATTGATGCAGAGATAGATCCCGACGGGCTGGCACTTGACTTTTCCTGTCTGTTGCAGGCCTCCACCCCCGGCGACAAAGACGACGACAGCAGCTCAGGAACGTTTTGTCCCCTCCCGCCCTGCACCTTTGCCCCCCAAATAATGTCCCACCTGTCTTTCACAAGCCATTCAATTTTGCTGGGACAGAGAGCTACATCAGTCTTCCATCAAGTGGTCCTTGAGACCCTTCCTTTTCTCATCAGCACTGGACAAGGAAAAAAACAAAGAGAGGAAGGAAGGAAGGAAGAAGAAAAATGCAAAACCAAGGAATGTAAGCTTACCGAACAAATACCTCTACCCAAACTTGCAGGAGCCAAGATCGCTGAGCCTGTGAGAACTGTCGGTGTGAACTGCAGTTGGACTGCACTGCTGGAATCAGTGGATCAGCCTGAACTATAGTTACCTTTTGGGTGTAACTGTGTCTTCCCCTCTTTTATGATGATTTGTTCAGAAAAATATTCAGTACATGAGCATCCCCCACCCCCAGATGGTTGCTGGAAAGAATATAACATTGAGTGAAGACAGGCAAACGTTAGCAGTGTGGCTAATTTAGACTCTTTTGCTGCGTTTAGACCAATCTTATCTTGTTGGAATGGCCTGTTCTTTGAAACAGCCTTAAAGGGTACTGCAGGCTTTGAACAGAAATCATATATGGATAGCACTGATTGGCCTGTGTCCATTGCGTTACCACATCCATGTCTTGCCCTCTGTAGCCTTGGGAGCAATTTTGCACTTTTAAAAATCTAAAACGTTAACAAGGCAAACAATGGAGATGTAACTGCGTGCATGGCATTTTTAAAAAAAAAGACAGTCTAAAGAATAATAGAAGAGTAAAGACTGACAGACGGTGACCTGAGGCCCCTATTCTGAGTTCTCTTTGGTTAGTGTTACACTTGTCTTCACTCATGCTTGCATAAAAGGAAGTGTTAAAAGCTGCTGTTCAGACAGGATGAGCGCATGGACAGGAAGAGAAACTAGACCATTGTTGTTGTTTTAATTTGGGTTACCAGGCAGCTAAAAGGCACATGGTAAATCAGGAAGCCAGCTTGCAGTCCACTTCTATACGTGTCTAGTCCCAATTAAGTTCCGTGGGACTTTTAGGTAAGTTATTATAAGACTGCAGATGTAATCTTGATGTCCCACCAGATGGACGGACCGGGTGCCATCCACGCTGCGCTGCTGTTCCAACGTTCCTGCCGTAAGATATTTTCTACGACAAGAAAACAAGATGGAAGAAATGGTAACTTAGAAAAGGACACAATGAATGAAGGACATCTGAACCCAATCCCCTTAAAAGGCTGTAGAAGAGACAGGGTGGTTGCACAATGGGAGCCTTGCCTAAAAGCCGTCCTTGACAAAAGATGGAGCATATTCTTAGCATATTTTAGTTTTTTTTTAAATAGTGTGGGAGACTGCTTGTGTCTTTATGTAAATTAACCCAAGGCAATTTTAACTGTGTTCCGGCTGACACTAAACTATAGTTAATAAAGGATATTAGGTTTAACTTAACAATTGTTTTAAGTTAACAAACAGAAGTACGGGCAATTCTTCAAATATACCACTAATAATCGTTATGCAAAAAAAAGGTACGAGGTGTACTTTTCGTCAAGGCTGGGGAGCGAGCAGCTGATGGCTAGCCAAAGCACTTCCATGCAGCTCTCACATATTTGCTAGAAGTCAGAAACAGAGGGGCGCCTGGAATGTTTATGACAACCAGCACTCAAGAACTGGAACTGAAAAGATTTAAAAGCAGAGACTCGCTCAGTTTTGATTCCCACAACATTGGCATCTTCCTGTGGATGCAAGAGGCGTCACTAGCCTCACCGGAAGACCAGCGTCAAGATCATCCATGCTGTTGTATTCCTTCTGATCACTATGTACAAGTGTGAAAGTTGGAAAGCTGTCAGGGGGGAAAAAAAGTGATTCATTTGTAATATCGTCCTGGAGGAGAGCTTTCAGGGATACCCTGGACGGCCAGAAAGACAAATAAATGGGCTCTAGAGGAAATCAAGCCTGAATAATCTCCAGAGGGACAAGTTATGAACCTGAAGAGCTGTCCTACTTTGAGCACCCCGGGACTCCCTGGAAAAGACAATAATGCTGCCAAAAGTTGAAAGCAGCAGGAAAAGGGGAAGACCCAATATGAAATGGATTCACTCCTCAAAGGAAGCCACAGGCTTGAGTTTGCAAGAGCAGGGCTGTTGAGGACCAGACATTATGGAGATGGCTCCTTCATAGGGCAGCCATAAGTCGGCAGCACCCTCATGGCACATAACAACAAATGAGGCATTTCTTGTTTTGAGGATGGCAGTCTAGATGGGAATACTGTGGAGGTGCCCACGTCACCCCCCTGCCTCTACAGTTTGGCATTTGTCAGGGTCTCAGAGATGCTATGCAAATAATGATAATGGCATGCCAATTAGTGGCTGCTCTTCAGCTTACGATGCATGACCCATGTGGCCTTCAGGCCTAGCAATCCTCTGCCAAGGTAATCATAACTGTTGACATTTTATTAAAAAAAACATCTCTATCCGGCAAGAGAGAGAGAGGGCGAGGGTATAATGTGCCCCTTAACTGAACGTTGAATTTGCACATCCTCCCCGCTCCGTTTTGTCACAACTTCTTTAGTGTGGGAGCACCAACCACAGTACAAAATCCCCTCTTTAAAATTTAAACCCACTGAACAGGTTTACGAGCACTTTAAATCATAGCAACCTGCTGAAGAATCGAATCATTCAACGCTGACTTTTACCAAATTGTTTTTTCTCGTGTCAGCCAGGATGTTTACATTGGCTAAATCTTGTTGGATCGAATTGTGTCGATCTTTGCACCATTGACCAAGCCAGAACAGAATATATACAGAATACTTACAAATTCTGGCTTAGTCAACGGTGCAAAGATTGCCACAAGCCATTGACATGAACTTCAGAATGACACTATTCCTATTAAATTATACTCCAGCTGATTCCCACATGACGGTCGCTGTTCAGCATACACTTGTTTGGTAGATTTCTCCATTATTATTGCCAAAAAGAAAAAAAAGAAGTCTTTAACAGTGTTTGTATGTATTCCTTATATAGATATACGGTATGTCTGCATTTGCAGTAATAAAATACTTGAACTACTGTGACCTGTCCAGTTTGTGCGAAGCAGTCTCACAATTGCCTGCATTCCAAAGTTTGTAAACCCAGTTTGGGGTAGTGAGTAGAGTTGAGTAGGATTGAGTAGGATTCTGGGGAGTAGGGTTCAAATCCCCTGCTCAACCATGGACGCTTACTTGGGGTAGCCATGATCAACTCTTCTTGGAACATTCCTCAAAATCCTATGAGAGTCGCCGTATCTATGAATGAGGCCACAAACCATCAACAAACGTCTTACAGCCCAAGGTCAGGCTGGTGAGTGCAAGTATTTGCATACCCCTCTTTCACACATTTATGGTTCCTAAGAATGTTGTGATGGCTGATTCTTCTAATTTTCCACCTCTTCCCAAACTTCTCTTTTTGGTTTACTCTTCATCATACTCTCTGGAAAGCACCCTCTTCCACAGCTGTTTTGCTAGGTCCTTAGGTGGCTCCTCGCCTATGGAACAGCCTCCGGAGATTCGCACAGCACCTACGCTGGGAATCTTTGAAACCCAATTAAAAACATGGTTATACATCCAGGCCTTCCCTCCAGTCAATACCTGATTTCTTTCTATTTTCCTTTATTTTTTTCTCCTTCTACTTTATTACAATTGTTATTGAACGACTATGCACATTCTGGAGTTTATTGTTTTATCCTATAATGTAAGCCACCTAGAGTGGACGAGTAGTCCAGATAAAATAAAATGTCTGGCTCCAGGATCAACCACCCTTGACCCAAAGCCCAAGAGACCCACTCCAAGCAAAGGTATCATCTTCTGCATCACTACAGCCTCCTCTGAATTGTTCCCCACTTTCCAGCATGAAATGACCCCACAGACTGTGCCCTACCACTGAAAAGACTCTTCCCACCCCCCCACACACCTTGTTTTCCCATATCTGTGCATGTTTTTGTGTTGAGACCTGTGTTAAAGTGCACAGGAAACAAGCATGCGAGTCATCTTAGCAGGACGGAAGAGAACCCTTAGTTCACCTTAATTCGTTATTTCTAAGGTAATTTCTTTGGGAGCTTGCAGGCAGTATCACTTCCACTTGTATCGATCACAATTCGGCTCTGCAGCCCCGAGGATTCATAGCATCTACAAGGTTAGCCTGAGCTTGAAAGTTAAGTGAAATGCAATGAACCTTCGTTAAATTGCAATTGTCATATAATGGTATTGAACTGCTATTATTAGAAAAGGGAATTACAGATAACTAGGGATTTTAATTCCTTTTCTAGCAGTCCAATAATATATTGCAAATGCATTTTAATGACAGATGCTTTTATTCTTTTTATGAATTAACTGTTTAGTTACCAGGCTAGCTGGAAAACGAATATCACATGGTTCAAGAGCAGAATTGTATTATCTTGCCTGATTATCTTGTGTTTTTTTTGGGGGGGGGGAAACATGTGTTTTGTCCCAAAGACTAGCAGTCTACAGTACTCAGAATTTTTTTAAAAAAGTAATAATGCTATTTCCAGCTAGAGTGATCCACCGAGATTTGCCTTAAGTGTTTAGCTTTCCATTCAGCACCTAATTCAATGAGCCTACTTTTATCTGAGACTCGAAAGTATTTTAGTTCCTTTTAACTAACTCCTTGTAACTACAATGGCATCTTCAGGGTGGACTCTTAACTAGAACAGTAACCACAGCTACAATTTAGACTTTCCATGCTCTGTTTAGACTACCTAGTGGTTCCCAACCTTCGGTCCCAGATATTCCCAGAAGCCTTCACCACTTGCTGTCCTGGCCAGGATTTTTGGGAGTTGTAGTCCAAGAACATCTGACTATCCGAGGCTGGGTTCCCAACCTTGAGTTCCCAGATGTTCTTGAATTGCAACTCCCAGAAATCCTGGCGGTGAAGGCTTCTGGGAATTGCAGTCCAAAACCATTTGAGGATCCTAGTTTGAAAACCACTAGACAATAAGCAGTGAAATTCAGTACATGCTGAGTTGCTTGCATGTAAGCAATGCATATACACATATATTTATTAAGGGAAGAAATTAATGTATTCTAAAGTATTTGGGGTGTATACATGTCAGGAAGTTGCAACATGAAGTATTACAAAGAAATACTGTATTGCACATGACTAGATGTTTATATAACAAAAGTGGATGAAAACATTTGTTAGCTGCTGCGATACAGTATTCCTCACAACCCTTGTACTTTATAGTTTACACAAACGATTAGGACAGTATTAATAAATAAGGAAATGGCACGTCCGTTTTGTACGCTAAATATGAGTGCCGGTAAAGCAAGAGCAACGGGAAAGCAAATGAGGATTAAAGTGCAAAGTGCACCCATTTTGCAAAAAAAGAGAGCGGTGCATGGAAAAAAAAGATAATAAAATAACAAAACGACGGCTCTGGTGGTGCAATTCTATCTCCTAACCACCAAAAGGATCCCATTAAAAAAACTTTGCTTTGAAGACTGGTTGCATTTCTCGTTTTTTTTTAACCTAACCAGCGCCCTTGTTCTTTTTAAAGTATCTGTATGCTCCTTATTTTCAAAAAGCCAAGCAAACAGCATCATCATCAGCAACAAGGGGTCCCCCCCCCCGGTCCGTGCGCGGCTGGGCGCCTTGAACCCTCCGGCGTCCGCC